GGATTGATTCTATGGATTGATTCTATGGATTGATTGTAGCTTACAAAGTCAATCTTATCAACATTTTGTTCTGTTGATACCACTGAGATATTAATGAAACTCAGTTTTTTTATATTCTTTTTATTTCCAACACAGTAGTCAGTTACTTAAAGCACAAACTTGAGCAAGAGAAATAGAATACATAGAAATTTGTTTAGAGAATATTGTTTACTTCTCTGTAATTAGAAAGTTTAGAAAGAGGAAAAAAAAGTCAACATTGTTTAATATTTAGATCATCTATCATGATTGGTAAATGTTTACTATCCAGTAGAAAGTGAAAATTTATTTTCTGGCATTACCATTATATTTTAATCCACCTCTTTTTATTTTGTCAAAATTTAAAATATAAATATACAATTTCAGTGATAATTAAATACATAGTTTACAAAAATATTGAAAAAAAATTGGTTCAAATAGAAATAGTTAATCTATGTGACTTTTTACCTAAAATTTTAATGACTAGAAAGTTTTTCTGTACTTAAGATTTTTTTTTTTTCAAAAAATTTTATCAGTTACTTTTTTTTACTTTAATAATTGATTTGATACATATTTATCTTATTTTTATGTATATGTGTTTTCTGGATTCAACGTTGTACATTTTCTTAAAGAACTTTTCCAAATTACTTTTTTTTGTAAATAGTTTTACACAATTTTTTTATCCTAATGGTTTTAATGAGTCACATGAAGTTAAGTGAAGAGGTGCACCTGATAGTACTTTTTGATATCCGGCCGTAGCCGGATATGACCGGATAGTAAAATTTGATATTCGGCCGGGGCCGGAGCCGAATACCTAAGTGTCTTGTAAATAGCTTGTATTGCTGAGCATTTTACGAAAGTGTTAAATAACATACCTATATTTGTTGGTAATATTTTGTTTTCCTTTTATATACCTTATTGTTTTAAACTCTTTTACTGATTGATTTATTAAAGATTAACAGTATTTATAAACATAAATTAATCTGTGTAGCATGAGCGTGTCTGTGTGTATGTACGAGGCCACCAACTATAAAGGCTGTGTGTTGGAGGGTCAACGTAAAATATGTTAGTATATATTTAACTAGTTACTAATGTAAATCTCTCATCTGGCTTGTATGGTGGTTGGATGTATGTGTTCAATAATTTCTGACCAACAACTGGTTATCAGACTTGTAATTTTAAGTCCAAAGGCTGCTTCTGGTTCTGGCTTCAAGGGCTTAATACTGATAGCTGTTAGTTAATCGTTGGAATCTGAAGCGTAGTAGGTCATATATTTATTAATCCATTTACGGCAAAGGATATTTTATTAACAGCAGGAACAACCATTATACCTACTTATAGCCTGAGCCTTAAATGTTACGAAGCATAGATTTAATTGTAGTCTGTAGGCCTATTATTGATATCTATGTTTAGATCTACTGTTATATAGATCTAAGAGAATTAGGAAAACCAACTATAGATGAAAAAAAAACTCACCCACACCCTCCCTACCAAACAAAAACATAAAAAGACTTTATGTTCGACTGATCGTAATAACCTGGTCAGATAGACTTAGTGAGCCTACACATGTAGTCCTAGTGTAGTGTGTATAGTTGATGGTGTTGACCTTCACGCGTTTTTTTTTCCTTGGGCATACGCAATAGTGTTTAGTGTGCAGGCAAAAAAAGATAACATATTGGGATGATCAGTCAAGCATATAGATAAATTATCTCTGTACCTTAGTTACCGAGGTCAAGTGTTTCTTAACATTCCAGCATATTTTTTCTTTGTTTGCTAGATCTAATTGTGGTGCTTTAGATCAATTTATTTTTTGCGATGTTAAATTTAACTGTAAGGTTTTCCTTTATATATTAAGTCAATAGAATTAAACAATGAAATTAGTTTTCTTTCTAAAAGTTTTAATACAAGGGGAAAAATACATAGACGCACACATGCACATATTTGTTTTATTTTATTGTGCAACAAACGTGTGTTCAGCGCCCTAAATGACATTTCTCTACAAGTAAACAAACTTAGTCTCATCATCTAGTCACCTCTAGACAGTGTCAATATTTCTCAACAATCTGCGTTATTCCATTCTGGCTTAAGAATGGTCAATGTCTATCAATACATTGTCATGGATTAAACAAATAAGAAGTTGGGGGTGTTGAGCCCTCCCTTTAAAGATACCCCTGGTCAGTGTCTGTTTGGCTTGTAGTCCAGCCTCCTAATTGAGACTTAAAGTAAACAAACTTATTGTCCCGGCAAATAGTATAAAAGGTGTGGCTTGTTTCCAGACCCTTGATTGACAACCTATCTCATAATAAACAAACTCATACCAGATTAACCTTATAGAAATTTGGCTTGTAGTCCCGCCTCTAATAAAAAATTCTTCTCCAAGTAAACAAAACTTAGTTCTCTCAGAAGATGTGATCTCTAGACAGTGTCAACACATTGACATTTGGCTTAATGTGGTCAGCTGTCTATCTGTAAACTCAATGTTATGGACTAAACAAACAAAAGGAGATATACCCGCACATCTAGACAGATTATCAGCCTGACGTAGTTAAGGAATATTCCATGTTTACTAGACCACTCAATGGTCAAGACAAGCTTTATAAATGTGCCAGACATCGCTGCTACATATGTAATGCGAATTTATAATGTTCAGTCTTGTTTCTATTTAGGTTAACACACCTTGTCTTTGTACTAAAAATATTTGGTGCATAGTCATAGTTTATAGTTTTAAAAACAAATCCTTTTATTTGAAACAAAAAGTTAATGTATTTCAGAACTGACATTATTGATTCATGTCCACTTTATGAGTATTGGTTTATTTTTATTAACATGGAGATTTAGTTTAAACTTCTTGTTGGACATTTATCAGCATCGATTACCTTTATATTGTTTACCTTTTGCCTGTGTTGTTTCGATATTTAAGCGTTACCTCCGTTTGGCGTATCTGGAAAAGACTTAGTGCGGAGGCGCATAACAATATTAATAGAAATACAGGTGTAGCTTTTACTATCCGGTTTACTATCCGGTAGTGATATCCGGCCGGAGCCGGATAGTGCCGGATAGTGAAAAGTGCCGAATATTTGGCAGAAGTCGCAGCCGGAGGGACTATCCGGTGCACCCCTAGTTAAGTGTAATGCATTTGTTAGCATGGAGTATAATTGGGAGTCATTTGAGATCAAAAGTAAAGAGTTTGTCAAAGAGAAGCTCAGACATTACTAGGTTTTGGAATGAATCATGAGAGGAGCTTAACAACAGGTCTATCTCTGGCTGTATTCTCATTACTGGGTTTTGAATGAATCATAGGGCACGGCATGGCCTAAATTTTGCAAATGTGCCAAAAACTCAAAATATCACAAATATCTGAATAAATCACAAGAGAAAGACAACAGCGGGTCTATCTCCAGCTGTTTGACATTTCTCATTCTTTAAATTTACAGATTTTATATCCATATTTTGTTTTCCTTCGGCCAGTATTTAATTCTGATAAGACTAAATGATATTTTCAAGTAACTTATAGTGAAAAAAGGTATCTCTCTCTCATTTATCTTATCTTATCCTGTAAATTACAGACATTATACTTCAAAACAGATGTCAAATAAATCATCAGTTTTCCCATCTGATTCAGGCAGTCCATTCCATGCTCTAATAGCTCTAGGGAAGAAGGAGAACTTATTTACGTGTTGATCTAGTCATTTTTGTTCATAAGTGATTTAAATTTGTATTAAATCTGTCTACCTCATGGCCAGGTAAGAGTACTAAAAAAATTATCAATAAAGTTATTTAGTGAGTTCCAGCTACTCCTTCTAAAAAATAAGTTATTGTTGAAAAAGAAAAGAGCACAAAACTGTGTGAAAAGAAGTCACAAGAAATATGAATATTTTCTTAACTGTAAGAAGAATGTTGATGAATGAAATAGCTATTTGTGTCATGCTTTATATATTTTCATATGCTTTGAACTTTTGTTTGTAGCATTGTGCTATGCTGAATAGTTAAGCTGCAATGATTTATAGATTTATGTATACAAATCTGAACTCCGTAATAAATAAAGCAACAGAATATAATCAAAAACATGTTCAAAGTTCAAACATTTGAATAAAGTTAACAATATTCTTAGATTATATTAAAATAGAATAGAATTTTTGTTAAATTGACTAGACTAAAAGGAACCTTGAAACTGTTCTTGCTTTTTTTATAAAATGATCTTATTCTAGTCTTCTCTTGATCTTTCTGGCAAGTTTCTTGTATTCACAGGAAGTTCCTGAGCTAATTTTAGCTTTACTATAACACATAAATAGATGATGTCATATTAATTAAAAATTTCAATGGCCTTATTAAAGCATAGGGTTGATCTTTTTTTATTTTTTGTAATGAGAGTTCAAGGCTAGGCTAAACCTCTTGCTTTTCTTGTGACTGTTTATTGTCCAAAAAGTATGTTGTTTTAATTATGATGTAAATAAATAACCTCTGGTTATTTTGTTTTCTTTCTTTGCTCAGACTACTTTTTATGTTTCCATGACAATCTTATGTGCAGCAACAATGTATTGGTGTGTAGCTGGCTTTAAAGGAACATGGTTAAATTGTCACTAATTGTTTAGTTTAGTAAGGTTAAAAAAAAATAAACTTTATTGTAAAAAGATCGACTGGATTACTTACCTTTCACACAAAAAATTAAGCTACTCCTCTGTCAGTGGGAGGGGGGAGAATTTGAAATCCCTCCAGACCCCCACTTTAGGGGGGTTTCCAAATGATTTTTTTTTTACACTAAAAATTAAATATTTCACAAAATGCAGGTGCCCAAGGAGGTCAAGCCCCCAGGACCCCAAATGATAGATAATTCCTAGCTACGCCCCTGTCCTCTGTGTAGTTAAACAGTAGGCTTCTCCAAGACTGTGTTGTAACTCTTTTTTCTTTTCATTCCCATTTTATCCATTTTATCTTTTTTTAACACACAAAAATAAAAAATAAAATGCTTTTTTTTTTGGGGGGGGGGGGGGGGGGGGGGGTCTTAAACAAAACAATAATTTGTAATGATCAACTGATGTAAACCGGTCTTATTGTAATAGCAGCTAAGATACTTTGGCCAGTAAAGGATCTAGAGGATTTATACTTTTTGTTTTTCTGGTGTTCAGAAAGTGACCTGACAGGAGATTCTAAAACTTCAGGTTACTAACAAAGTTTTGTATATCTTGTTGCTCTAGCTGTTTAGTTTGTTGTTTTTTTTTTCAAGTGCCTTTTAATTTTATTTGAATTTGACAATAATATAAAAAAAAAACAGAAATGGAAAAATGGTTCCAGTGCTGGGACAAAACCCAAAAAGTCTTTGGACTCTTGAAACACATGAGACAAGGTGAAGGCTGCCCAGCCTTGAACACATTTTTTTTTAAATGGGCACTATTGTTACAAGTTTTTATCACTAATAAATTCCGCTCTAGTCGATATATTTGTTTTGTATTCAAATAAAACTTTTATGTCAAGATTTTTTTTTTCAGAAAAAGACTATTCATTGTTTTGTTTTTTAATATGTATATTTTGTACCCTCTTTCTTTCACATGCAGCAAATGTTTTGTAAATATTTCTAAGATAATATTGAAAGTGGGTTACATGTTGAACAAAAACAAATTTAGGTTATTTTATCTTTCCTATGAACTAAGTCAGTTGGGTTATTTGTAATGGTTTTGAGGTATGAAGTTCTTATAATACTAAGTTTAAATTGCTGAGTGTTTAAAATAAGAAAAAAAAAAATTTTGTGTCTGGGCAACAACAATAAAGACATAATGTATGTATATTACAATGTGGCTTATTAACAGGCTAATTGGTTTGGTTTGCATTACCAAACATCACTAAGTATTAAATGTTGTTTTGAAAATGATGGTGTTTAATTTCTTTTTTTTTTACACTTTAGAAGAGTTTTGATTTAGTGTACTTTGTGGATATTGATTCTCAGGAGGAAATTTTATTCTTTCTTTATTTTTTCTAGAATTAACTTTTTTAGATTAACTGTCATTCTAACTGTCGTGTTTGTGTTTGTAATGTTATTACAGCGCCTTGAGCCTACATTTTGTTTGTTAACAGCGCTTTATAAATAAAATTATTATTATTAAATTATTATTAAATATTTGGCTGCCTGGTTCAGTGGTATGCCCTCCAAAGTTGTCTTGATTGTCCTGGTTTCAAACCCAGCCCACTGCCATCCCCTGCTGACTTGCAGGAGGTTTGGACTAGGCCATAACATACTTAGAAGTCAAGTAATTTCTTTAGCTTTATATTTCTACAGTAAGAAACATTAATACTGATATATATTTTTTTATGTGTGCTGAAATAAGTTAAACTATTAATACAGAACATAGTTCATGAAAAATTTGAAAAAATGATCAGATTCATGAATGAATAAACATTTCAAAACTACACTAACAATTTTGTAAAGAAAAACAGCCAACACAAACATATTTGTAAAGAAGAAGCCAACACAAACATGTTTGTAAAGAAGAACAGTCAACACAAACATTTTTGTAAAGAAGAACAGCCAACACAAACATGTTTGTAAAGAAGAACAGCCAACACAAACATTTTTGTAAAGAAGAACTGCCAACACAAACAAAAGTTTTATTTCAATTTTTTTTTTATTTCCATCATATTCAGAATCAATAGTATTAACACAATAACCCATCAAATGTAAATGTTAAAAAAACCCGTAAAGTTTGAATCAACTTGTTTAGTCCAGACTTAGACTGGTCCAGCCCATAAAGTAATGTTGTAAAGTTGACATTAATGAAATGGCAGGGTGAATAACCCTGAACAGAAGCAAAAGCAATTCATTATGGTCTCAAAAAAATGTTAAACAATTGGAAAATTAAGATTAAAAGAATAATGAAATAGAAACTGGACACTAAAGAATGGAAAGAAAAGAAAAAAAAAAAAACTTATGTAGCTTCTGTTTTATGCTTCAATTAAAATTTATTCATATATGAGCTTACTATTTTAATTTGAGTTCTTTTTGCAGTTTTTGGCAAATAACCAATTTTGTTTGTTTCAGACTGCCAGGTTCAACTTTTGAAAATTATTTTCAGTTATATCTACAGATAATGAAATGCTTTTATTTCTGTTTCTGACATTTCAGTTTTCATTAGCACTCCACTAAGGAGATGGACATACTCGTTAATATTTAGAAATTTGAAACAGTAATGAAATAAACAAAAAGAACAAGACACAACAAGTAGCTCAAGAATGTGAACTGGAACAATATTTTGTAAGTCTTCTAACAAAGTCACAACTTCATTTGTGTATATGAAATAAAGTTAGGATTTTAAAAAATGCATTCTACATCACAAATAATTACAATTTCCACACAGAGCACCTAACAATTGGATTTGTGTAAGGTAAGCTTGCGACAACCTCATGACTCGTGCATTATCTGTGGGCTATATAAAGTAAACAATAATGGCAGTGATCCAGTGACATCCAATTCAATACACAATAGCCTAGAAAAAATAAATATATATTTATAGAATATATTGTTTGTATATAGTAGAAAATGCTTAAGGAACTCAAAAAATGAACTGTTTTTCTTCACAGTTAATTATAAACTTTCCAGATATTTCTATATCAAAGAACAAACAAAGATAAAATTTAAAGATGTTGAAGTGCTTGGTCAGAGTATTAACTTACAACTTTATCCAGTAGACAGAAAATTAGAGCTGAAAGTACTAAAACAGGTTTCTGTACATAAAATTTTGGACCTAATCACACAAAAAATAGGAACAGAAATAGTGAGAAAGGCTGAGAACAAAACAACCATAATCATGCAGTCTCTTTTCTTTTATGATATATGAATTCTCAAAAATGCATATGCAACCAATCTTTATTATGACATTAACAAGCTCACAAAAGAAAAAACATTTTCTTTTCTTTCATATCATGAAAGTTTCAACAGTTATATTATCAAGAAATAATTTTTTTTACTGGCACTTTGACATCTTACCCGTAAATTATTCTTCAAAAAAGTTTTTCATTGAGAAAGACATGTGACAGTTTCTTTATTCTACCCTTCACTTGACCCCTCATATTTATTCATCAATGCAAGTTCATGTTTTTTGATAATCCTAATAAAATCATTTCACAAACTTATTCCATACTAAACAAAATTTTGAAAAAAAAAAAAAAAAAAAAGAATTTCCGTTGGGACACATTACTTCTGAAACACCTCAGACAATCAATCTGATTTAAAGACAGAAAATGTTCTTAAATTAAATTACTTTCTATTTCAAATACTTTGTCTGCTTCCCTCTGGAATTGAAATTGAATTGAATTGAAAAACAGATAAGCTGATTCTGCTACACAGTTTTAGTGAATGTTTTCAAAGATTACCTAGCATTTACTTTAAAACTCTATAAACTCTATTCTCTAAGCATTTTAAAACCTATTTTTGTACAACCTATATATCATATTTTTATAAATTACAGATTACAAAAAAATGAAAAACTCTTTGAAACTTGTAGGGCTAATAATAAAGTATGATTCTGATAATTGAGTCAATACAAACATGTAATGCTTCAAGCTGTGGTCAATGAGGAGAAGAATGTGATACAAGGTCTAAGTGAAACAAATAGAGAAAGTCTTTCCAGATAGGTTAATTTAGGGTGAACCAAACAAAAGGTACAATCACAGACTATGTTTTGGTGGTTCAATTTCTTTTTAAATCAAAATCCGGAACGATTGGGAATTCCATTTTTTTTACTCCTCCAGAAAGAAATTTATCAAATGAGAGAACCAGACTTACTGTAGGCTCCTATGAATTGGACATTTAACCTTGAAAAAAAGGGCAGGGTATTAAATGAGGTCCATGAATCTTTTCTTAAAATGTGGTGGAACTAAAATTAAAATGTTGCCAAGTTGGAAAAGTTTTATAAGAAAATAAAAGAGATCATAAATGATAAAAAAAAAATAATAATAATGAAAAAAGAAATAGAAAATTACATTTACATTAAAAAAAATATTTGTATTTGTTTTAGTTATCTCCCTTGTATCAAAATATCAAACAAAGCTGAGTATACAACTTAAAGAATAATTTATAACCTAAAAAAAAAAAAACAGACTGACAGTTGTTTTTGTTTTTCCACCATTTAGGAATATTGTTAAGAAGAGTCACATAAGTTGTGTGAATAGCAAAAAATTTACAAACTTGGCTAACTTAAGATCTATTTGTATGAAACATTGTCTTCTAAGTTTCAGATGAAATTTTTGGTTGAGTGATAAGCTGGTAGTCATAGTAACAATAATAACACAATATTGTCATATTCAATCACTACAAGAGTACACGGTAGATCAAACTAGAACAGTTTATTAAATAATTGATATACATGGTATTATCAATGTATAATGGATGCATGAATATATGAATTAGTGCTAAAATGAAACTGTCACAAAATATCTCACATCATCACCAATATGTGTCACATAAAACATATGTCACATCATCACCCAAATAGGACTAATCTTAGACAATAAATACAATTTGAGGGTGTCACATGCCCATTGGTGGAGGGAAGGGGGAGGAAAAAATAAAGGGAAATAACAATGATATTAATAAATGAACTAATTACATTATATTATTACAGTCTAATCACTTAATGAAGTATTAATGGCCTTGGCCTTCAGCTGAGCTGAACTTTTACATAGTGTGGTGATGGGGTAGAACTGTGTATGTGTGTGTGCTGTATGTGTATGTTTGATGTGTTTCTGAGTGTGAGTGTGGTATATATCATTGGTCAGTGTCAAAATCATACACGTACCAATTATGAACTATTATTCCATGACCTAGTTGTAAAGGTCTTCTAGTTAAAGAAAGTCCATTTAGTGATAACACATCACAATAAAGAATAAAGTATTTCTAATAAACTCAGATTTGTAACAAATCTATTTAAAAATATTCTAAGGAATGTCAGCTATCATTAAAAATGGAGGTCACCAATAAAACAATATAATTAGCAGCCCATTGGCTTTTGGGCAATACAACAATAGTTGGCATTTCAGTGGAAAGTAATTGTTTCTAGAATTCCAATACGAACAAAAAACCAGGGGAAAAATCTCTAAATATGTAAATTTTCAGGATTTGAGATCAAAAGTGTACCAGTGGACCAGGTCATTTCTGAGCCAGTGTCTGGTTCTAGATTAATTTTACAAGTGCTACTTCGGTTAAGTTAGCTTTAATTATTTATATTGGTATTTTTTTAAAAATGTTGTTGTCTGGTATTGGAAGAGCCAATCTTAGGATGTCCATTCCATTTACTGTTTATTAATGTCAATTCTCTTTGGCCTGTTGGATAAGAAATAGTGCAGGGTCTTAAAGACATATTAATGTCTCCAAAAATAGTTCATTGAAGACACATGCAGGTCACAATGTCTTTAGATTGACAATGGGTAAAAGGTGAAAGTAATACTTCAGAAAGTATCATTTAGTCACTGAGCAGCAATTCTCTAAATGTAACTGCTGTATTATATATCACTCATGTGGTAAAAGTGACACATTTATAACAAATACCAGAGGCTACATGTTACAGACATATTTAAATGCTAATATAACTAATATACCTGTAGGCCGATCTAAACCCGTATTGGAATAATTAGAACATTTGTTTCTAGTTGAAATACATCCCACTCATTTGCGTGTATACCACATTCTTAGTTCTCATCAGAACTGGAACAAAACAGAGCTGCAGAAGTAGTCTCAATCTGTCTTCTTTCATAGAGTTCAAGAAGCATAACTCATCTTTTAATTATAATTAAAATAATTGAGCAGTGATTTCCCCCATTGGTCATCGAATCCTGTCCAAAATATTTCTGGCATTTTCGTAAATGAACTATAGTGAAA